CATTCGTTCATGTATACGGACATATTTACTTGATTAATAGCCACACATTCTGTATTTAAAAACTTATAAATTCTCAAACCCAAATTACTTTCCTTGACCTTATTATTTAATTAACGTTTTAATTTACAATTGGGCATGAGTTTAAACATAATAAACATTTTTCTCGGATTAATGCCTTCAATGAAAATTTGCAGACACTGAATGAGAGTAATTTTACACAAATCTGAAGCTTGCTGATTTTTTTTTTCGCAAAACAGATTTTGTATAAATACTTAATTACACTATCATGATGAGATTTTCTCTTTTTTTACTTTCATCTTCTCTGATTAATTCTCCTTCATTTTAACTCCTGAAATTAATGTAATTAAAACTACATCTTATTCATTCCAGTTAATGTTTGTTATATTTTTCCCTTCTATTAATGTTTGTAGCTTCATATATTTGTTTTAAAAAAAAACTTATTCATTCATTGAGGTTTAAAATAATTGAGCAATGTAACTAAATGGTTTATTCAATCACTAGCAGAAATAGAAATTGATTCAAGAAAAACTTGAAGCTACAAAAATACTTAAAACGCATATGTATATTTACTTTCAACAATTTTTGAAGCTATGTACCAAATAATCAAAATGTTCCATATATATTCGAGCTTCGACGACGATGGAAGATCAAATGTATCATTATTTATTATATGTAAAATGTTTGTTTTACAAATATGTAACAAAATTGTTCCATCGAAGTATTACCCGAGCCCGCTTTGGTTCAAATCATACGAAAAATCATCAAAAAAATATATTTTTGCAGGAAAATAATATTTGTTTTAAATTTGGTATTTGCCATATACTTCACAAGTGCTCGCAGAAATCAGTATTATAAGTTCTCTCTAAATTTGTGTGAGGCTTTCAATTAATTATTTATCTTCCTCAGGTGTGCGAGTCTTGGGCGTTCATCAGTATGCGACTTAATTGAATTAAGTCCTTTTGTTCTTTTTCGTAGCGTTAGTGTACTTTAATTAAGTACACACTAATACTTTTACAACAATTTACACAAAATATAGAAAAACACAAAAGAACACGTGGAATTTAGCACGTGTTTTTATCCAAAAAAAAGTAATCCATTTGTTTTCCATTTGTATTCCTTTGATGTATTACATTGATGTCTTATTGCATTGTACATTTATCTTCCAATTTCATAGGACATCATCTTCCGATGGATAATACATAGATAATACATATGTATCATCCATGGAAGATTCTCATGGAATACATTGATCTACCTTTTGGTTACTTGGAACGTTATTCTTGATAATAATTTGAAATGAAATTATTACACAACCTTATTTGTTTAAAAACACTTACATTAGCTATCATTGTTCAAATCTTACATCTAAAACTCTAAGGCATAAAACACCTCAATCTAGAAATCCCTAAAATGCAGCTACCCTAATATGCAGATAGTACTGCCAAGATGCAGATGAAATATATTTTCCCTAAAATGCAGATGAAATGCTGTTGCTTTAAAAAAGGTATAATGCAGATGATTTTTATCGTATAAAGTGCAGATAAGATGCTTCCCAAATGTAGATCGTATAATTTTATTAAAATACATCATATTCGATGACTTTTTTTCTTGATACGTGCAAGATATATAGATGTGCTCATACAAAAATATCGCAATTTTTAAACGTCAAAAATTTGAATTTTCTAAAAACACTAACACTATAAAAGAAAATTTTCAATTTTTGTTTTGCAAAATTTTCAACTTTCTGTTAAGTTTTGTTGATACAGGAGTATTGCAAATGCTTTGCTATAATTTAAAGAAACTGACTTAAGACAAATGTTGTTGCATCTGTCGATATTTAAATGAAAACTTGAAAATAGAAAATTTTAAAAATTTTTGTTTGTATAAGTACACAAAAAATAGTATGGTCGAGTATGGTCAAGTATACTCTGTATGAGCTCATCTATATATCTTGGATACGTGTTAATAAAAAAAAATCCATACAAATTTTCACCTTCAAGTGATTTAAAATCCCAAAAAAATCCCCATATAAAATGATTTAAATCATAAATCAAAAATAAATCACTTGGGAAAGATGATTTAAATCCCCTCCATGCTAATTACATCAAAATTTCGTGTAGCAAAGTAATTTAAAGTCATAAAGTTTGCATTGTATTCAAACGTGCATTTTTGTTTTCCTGAACTTTTTTAATAACATCAACCAGTGTATCGGGTAGAAACCGAATGCGGATATATTCGCACCGTACCATCAAAAGTCTTGTGGAAAGACCAAGCTTAGCTCAGTATTAATTTAAAAGTATAAATCTTTACGAACCAGCTGAGCTGTGCTAAGCATATGTTTGGAGGTTTAAAGCTTAACGAGCATTCTTTAAAGTTTTTTAAAAACATTTTTCATCCAAAGTTTAATTTTATAAAAATCACAGTAAACTTTTGTTTTAAAAAATTCGTAAGAAAGGAAAGTTTTTTGCTTTTTCTGAAGCAACGACTGTTCCTACCTTGCCCAAAAGCAATACAGCTCTTCTATAAAGCAGCACGGATCAAATGTTTAAAACTAAAAGTCTCTACGATGTCTCGTTATTGAGATTTCTTGCTGATTAACTTGCTTGCTTGCTTGTTTGCTTGCAGAAAGCGCATTTTGCGATTTTCTCAGCAATGCCACAATCAATTTGAAATCTGTTTTTTGAAAATGATGTAAAAGTTTAGGCACAAACTTTTCTTCTGTGACCTTTTATAACCAATTTTGCTTTGTTTTCTCACAAAATGCGAAAAACTAATTTTTCAATCTGAACAAAACCAATAGATTATCACGTGAAAACGGTGTGAATTTAAAAAATACATTTGTAGATATATCAATGAAAGCTGACAAAGTTTTAACAAAATTCACAAAAAAATATTCGTGAGTGACGCTTAATTAAAATGATTTTCTGACATAACGCTTTAACTTTAGGAAGTAAGTTCTATGTCAAAAGAAAGCAATTTTTGTTTTTTACAAGATATAATAACTTTGAAATTTGTTCCTATTGTGCTTTCGGAGATATTTAAGAAACCAAAGTGTCACTCACGAATAATTTTTTTTCGTCGGGCCCAAAAAATTAATATCCAACGTTAAATTATCTACATTATAACAGCATTTCATCTTTATTTTAATAAAATTATACGATCTTCATTTAGGCAGCATCTTATCTGCACTTTATACGATAAAAATTATCTGCATTATACCTTTTTCAAAGCAACAGCATTTCATCTGCACTTTAGCAGTACCATCTGCATCTTGGCAGTACTATCTGCATATTAGGGTAGCTGCATTTTAGGGATTTCTAGATTGAGGTGCATAAAACAGCTTTTTTAATTTAAATTTTAGAGGAAAACTGTTTTTAATTCTTCGCTTTATAATTTAGCATCAACTTCAACGAGAAGGAAACATCTGAATTTAACTTCTTTAGTTCCATCAAAATAAGTGCAGATATTTTTCTCAAGGCTTTTTTTTCTTATCTTTTAATCGCTTCAAAAAGAAAAGCTTTCAAAACTTTTTCATAAACTTGCAGTTCGTTTTAAAAAAACCAAATTCATTTTGAAAGTGAATGAAAAAAATTTATAAGTTGAAGTGCTTCTTGCCATAAAGATTTTTTTCCGTTAAAAGGAATTAAAATGTTTAATATAGAAACAAATTCTGTTTGAAGTTTAGTTTTGTGGAAAAGGCATTAGGCTTTAGAGTAAAACTCATCAAAATGGATTTGATTTTCTTAGAATTCCAAATGGTCATTTTACAAAAGCTTTTCAATTTCAACCAAAAATAATTTTCTAACTTAAAAAGTAATAAGAAGTACCAGATAAAATAGACAGTGATTGCAATTCGTTAAAAAATAAGACGAAAAAATTTTGACATATAAATTAAATACATAAGTATGTAAAAATAAAATATGCTGAACGATGATTGAATTGCAAAAAACCTTTTTTATGTTAAACTTCCTACTTTTAAAATGCTGATGTCAAATTTTAAACGCCGTATTTATTTCAAATTTATATATGTACCTACATCAAAAAATTTATAGCATATTTTATTAGCCATTAATGGGAGGAAATAAAAAATTTCTAAAGAATTTTGATCCCACGAGAAAGAATGAGACTCAAAATTTAAATTTTTGTGTTCAAGAATATCAAAACATGACTTTAATCATTAAACTTGGAAGTTGTTAAGTGATTGAATAATAAGATTACTTTTTCATAAATTTTGAAGTTAAACGACGTCAACATGAGCGATTTCATATTTCAAGACATTTCAATAGAACTTTAAGTTGATAACATATAAAACGTTTGAAAGTTGAAAGAATATGAAAGAATTTGATATGAAAATATTTTATAAATAACACTTATGAACACATGAATCGGCCTGTAAAATTCAACACAATATGAAATTTTTCGTATTAAATTTCCTAATACACCTACCTAAATTTCTCATTAATTTTATTCATGTATGAAGTCTTATGTTGAAACATGGATAACATCGACAATATTACACTTGATGAAAATTATTTATATTGTGTTATTGTAATGAAGCAAGTGGAAATAAGGAGAAGGCAGTCATTCTAGACAGTACAGCAATAAAGTATGAAGAGTTCTACATATACAACAAGTTTCTTAATTTTCACATTCTACATTATATGTGAGTGCTTTCATTATATGCTATCAGGCAGGGAAAGACGACATGGAACACAATACGCTTCATGAATATTTTATGCAACAAAAAAATTAGCAATAAGCATGTCTAAGATAAAACAAGAAATGAATTAAATATGAAGAAACAGCCTCACACAATAGCTTCAATACTAATCGCAAATTGTCTATTAAAAATCAAAAAAGGTACTTTTATATTAAATCTTTCTTAATTCAATTAAGAATTCTAAATACCCATGTAATGAAAATTAAACGAATATTTTAAGTTTAAAAATAACTAGAATTTAGTAGAACTTAGGAGAACAACCTGGAACTGCCTGGAACAACCATTTTGAGTTTTAAAAATAAACGTCTAAAAACGTGGGAAAGTTGAATTGTTAATTAAAAACTAATTAAGTGGTCTATTAAGCATGGGTGATGAAATTTATTACGTTGAAAAGATCCTTAATCGCAAAGTGGTAAATGGAAAACCATATTATTTCATTAAATGGGAAGGTAAGTGTGAAAAAATGTTTAAAAAGTCTAATTGAAAATTCATTGATTTTTTCATTAATTAAGGCTATACCGAAAGTGATAATACTTGGGAACCAGCTGAAAATTTGGATAAAACCTTAATAGAAATATTTGAAGTCAAACACTATGGAATTAATCGTAAGTTTTTCGAGAAAATAAAAAGTATCTGGATCTTTTTGGTTGAAGTGGTATTTTTCTCTTCTTGCAGGTGTTGAACAAGGAACTTTTGATACTGATGACTCTAATGATGAACTTATGGTCCCTTTGAAGGAAAAGCAAACAGAAAAAAGTGAAGAAGATGTTTTTAAGAAACCAGAACCAAAATTCTTGACTGATAAACAAGCTAGTGAAATTGTTGTTAAAATAGAAAGTTCATTGGCAAATATGGATCATAAAGAGTCGCATTACAGAAATCATCCGTCGATTAATAATGATCGTTTTCATGCAAACATAAAGAAGGAAAATAAGCTTCACTCATCTGAAAATCAGGAACGAATTAAATTATCTGAAAAGAAAGACAAAAAGAATCAGTTGTCTGAAATTAAGGATGTACACGACAAAAAGTATCACTCATCAGAAAGTAAGGAACGAAAGAATTCCTACGAAAAGAAGCATCATTTGTCTGATCACAAGGATCGAAAGGAATCTTATGAAAAAAAGCATTCCTCATCAGACAAGAAGGATCGAAATGATTCTTACGATAAGAGAGACAAAAAGCATTATTCTTCAGAAAATAAGGATCGGAAAGAGCTTCACGGTAAGGATCATCACTCATCAGAGAAGAAGAATCGAAACGATTTGTACGAAAAGAAGCATCATTCGTCCGAAAGTAAAGAATTGAAGGGAAAGAAGGAATCCACAACGAATAAGGCTGATTTGTGCAAACGTGGACTTTCTGGTTACAAATCTGGACCTGCTAAAACTAAAGAGGAGTTAAACAAACCTGGACCTTCTGGATATAAAGCTGGAAAAGATGCAAAGGAGAAGAAGGTTCGTCGTGACGATGTTAAAGTAAAGCGCCTTGACAAGACTAAGAAATCTAAGAACAAACTTATTTTGGATCATATTCTTGGCTTTACTGATGTTGATAATCAGTTGCATTGCCTCCTTCAATTCAAAAATAACGTCGTTCGACGTCTTCCTCACAAAACAGTCCGCGAAAAATTTCCTCAAGGACTTATCGACTATTATGAGAAGCATATGACATGGAGCTATTGATTTCTTGGAGCAATCTTGCTGTTTTTTTTTTCAATTATTTCAGCCGTGCTTTTTCAATTACATAATTTTTTTGAATATTGCAAGACATTACACATATGAGAATTTATAATACAAATCATTTAAAGAAATAATAAATGAACTTTTCAAAAACAAAAGTAAATTGTTTTAAGCATTAAAATTTCTAGATGTAAGCAAAATTTTCCTTTTTGTTTATCAATTGGTACAGAAGAGCTTAACTTTAAATTTTTATTCAATAAAGCTCAACGATTTTAAAAAATAAAATCGAGGAAAAATCATTAATTCTCTTAAGTACCAGAAACCACTTAAAAATCACGAAGCAGATATGAGGAATGAATACATTTTATAAAAACTTCTTCTATAGCTTCCATTCTCAAATGATTTCATCATTATCGGTTGTATGAATGAAAAATCATGCAAACTATCGGTATAAAGGAAAAGTTTTTTCAAGCTTGCACTTCCAACTTTTAAAAAAAAATTTAAAAGCTTTTTTGCATTATTTTATTCAGAACGTATAAAAAAGGATGAGAAACTTTAAGAAATAGTTTAGAATGTTACAAACACTTTTAAATTTTTTTAAAATAATTATTAAAAATCAAGGCCCTGAATGTATTTAAATTCTGTCAGCTTTAGCATGACGGTATGAATATAGCAAACTGTTGATGTTATCTATTACAAGTTTATCTTCAATTTGCAATGGTCAAAGCATAAAAGAAATTTTTGAAACTTTATTTATATACAAAACTGGAAATGCATGATTCCTTTTTAGCACATCTTCTGCTTCCGATACATGCAATTTAAATTTTTTGAATTAAAAATTTTTAAATGAAAAAGTTTTTCAAATCTCAAGTTGCTCTTGAAAGAAATTTTAAAAATTAATTACTAAATTCAATATATTCAGGATGGGAACAACTTTACAACTATATAGCAACAGTTGTTTTAAATACTCTACTAGCAAGGGCATATTAAGAAATTTGAGCCATAAGAAACTTCTATAGACGTCACTGTTGAACAATCCTAATATCTTGAAATCAGAGTTGCGATCTGTAACAGGTCAACGAAAACAGCCCATCTGTCACAGGCCGTTACCTGTTCACAGGTCAAATTTTTTCGCCTGTCACAGTTCTGACCTGTCACCTTTCACTATCGAAATTTTATTCTTCTTGTGAAGTATAAAGATTTCATATAAAATTCGTCAATTTTTTTCTTCCTCAAGTCGGATTTTTCTGTACATAAACTTTTACATTTGGACATCATCTATGCCTTCAAAACGCCAAAAAACGTCTTTTTTGGGTCTACAAATTTAGTGATCGAACAGCCGAACCATTATGGTCTCGGAAAATAATTTTTTCGCCATTTGATCACAAAACGTAAGCAATTAGGGAGATCGAAAGTCGTTTTTCAAAATTCTCAAATTTTCAGTAGTTTTGAAGCTGTCAAAGTTGGAAAACCTAGGAAAAATGGTCATTTTCTTAAAATTCTTGTTAAACCAGACTTTTTTTCAAACAAGATATTATATTGAGTTCTTCATTAAAAACCTCAGCAATAGCTTTTCAAAAATACCCCATATGACTATATTTTGACTTTACCATGACTTGCTATAGCCTCTTGAAAATCAAAAAAATCGAATCTTTTATCTATATTAGCATTCTTTATCATTTATAATACCTAGATATGTTTTAAAATAAATTTAAAGCATTTTTGATTTCGATCATAGTAGGCTATTTTTAAAAAAAACTATCGATTTTATATCTTTATTAGCATTCTTTATCATTTATAATACCTAGATATGTTTTAAAATGCAATTTAAAGCATTTTTGGTTTCGATCATAGTAGGTTTTTTTCAAAAAAAATATCGATATTATATCTTTATTAGCATTCTTTATCATTTATAATACCTAGATATGTTCTAAAATGCGATTTAAAGCATTTTTGGTTTCGATCATAGTAGGCTATTTTCAAAAAAAATATCGATTTTATATCTATATTAGCATTCTTAATCATTTATAATACCTAGATATGTTTTAAAATGCGATTTAAAGCTATTTTGGTTTCGATCATAGTAGGCTTTTTTCAAAAAAAATATCGATATTATATCTTTATTAGCATTCTTTATCATTTATAATACCTAGATATGTTCTAAAATGCGATTTAAAGCATTTTTGGTTTCGATCATAGTAGGCTATTTTCAAAAAAAATATCGATTTTATATCTATATTAGCATTCTTAATCATTTATAATACCTAGATATGTTTTAAAATGCGATTTAAAGCATTTTTGGTTTCGATCATAGTAGGCTTTTTTCAAAAAAAATATCGATATTATATCTTTATTAGCATTCTTTATCATTTATAATACCTAGATATGTTTTAAAATGCGATTTAAAGCATTTTTGGTTTCGATCATAGTAGGCTTTTTTCAAAAAAAATATCGATATTATATCTTTATTAGCATTCTTTATCATTTATAATACCTAGATATGTTTTAAAATGCGATTTAAAGCATTTTTGGTTTCGATCATAGTAGGCTTTTTTCAAAAAAAATATCGATTTTATATCTGTATTAGCATTCTTTATCATTTATAATACCTAGATATGTTCTAAAATGCAATTTAAAGCATTTTTAATTTCGATCATAGTAGGCAATTTTCAAAAAAAAAATATCGATTTTATATCTGTATTAGCATTCTTTATCATTTATAATACCCAGATATTTTTTAAAATGCAATTTAAAGCATTTTTGGTTTCGATCATAGTAGGCTATTTTCAAAAAAAAAAAATATCGATTTTATATCTATATTAGCATTCTTTATCATTTATAATACCCAGATATTTTTTAAAATGCAATTTAAAGCATTTTTGGTTTCGATCATAGTAGGCTATTTTCAAAAAAAATATCGATTTTATATCTATATTAGCATTCTTTATCATTTATAATACCTAGATATGTTTTAAAATGCGATTTAAAGCATTTTTGGTTTCGATCATAGTAGGCTATTTTCAAAAACAATATCGATTTTATATCTATATTAGCATTCTTTATCATTTATAATACCCAGATATGTTCTAAAATGCAATTTAATGCATTTTTAGTTTCGATCATAGTAGGCTTTTTTCAAAAAAAATATCGATTTTATATCTTTATTAGCATTCTTTATCATTTATAATACCTAGATATGTTTTAAAATGCGATTTAAAGCATTTTTGGTTTCGATCATAGTAGGCTATTTTTAAAAAAAATATCGATTTTATATCTATATTAGCATTCTTAATCATTTATAATACCTAGATATGTTTTAAAATGCGATTTAAAGCATTTTTGGTTTCGATCATAGTAGGCTATTTTCAAAAAAAATATCGATTTTATATCTTTATTAGCATTCTTTATCATTTATAATACCTAGATATGTTTTAAAATGCGATTTAAAGCATTTTTGGTTTCGATCATAGTAGGCTATTTTCAAAAAAAATATCGATTTTATATCTTCATTAGCATTCTTTATCATTTATAATACCTAGATATGTTCTAAAATGCAATTTAAAGCATTTTTGGTTTCGATCATAGTAGGCTATTTTCAAAAAAAATATCGATTTTATATCTTTATTAGCATTCTTTATCATTTATAATACCTAGATATGTTCTAAAATGCAATTTAAAGCATTTTTGGTTTCGATCATAGTAGGCTATTTTCAAAAAAAACTATCGATTTTATATCTTTATTAGCATTCTTTATCATTTATAATACCTAGATATGTTTTAAAATGCGATTTAAAGCATTTTTGGTTTCGATCATAGTAGGCTATTTTCAAAAAAAATATCGATTTTATATCTTTATTAGCATTCTTTATCATTTATAATACCTTGATATGTTTTAAAATGCAATTTAAAGCATTTTTGGTTTCGATCATAGTAGGCTATTTTTAAAAAAAACTATCGATTTTATATCTTTATTAGCATTCTTTATCATTTTTAATACCTAGATTTGTTTTAAAATGCAATTTAAAGCATTTTTGGTTTCGATCATAGTAGGCTATTTTCAAAAAAATATCGATTTTATATCTATATTAGCATTCTTTATCATTTATAATACCCAGATATGTTTTAAAATGCAATTTAAAGCATTTTTGATTTCGATCATAGTAGGCTATTTTCAAAAAAAATATCGATTTCATATCTATATTAGCATTCTTTATCATTTATAATACCTTGATATGTTTTAAAATGCAATTTAAAGCATTTTTGGTTTCGATCATAGTAGGCTATTTTTAAAAAAAACTATCGATTTTATATCTTTATTAGCATTCTTTATCATTTATAATACCTAGATATGTTTTAAAATGCGATTTAAAGCATTTTTGGTTTCGATCATAGTAGGCTATTTTCAAAAAAAATATCGATTTTATATCTATATTAGCATTCTTTATCATTTATAATACCTAGATATGTTTTAAAATGCGATTTAAAGCATTTTTGGTTTCGATCATAGTAGGCTATTTTCCAAAAAACTATCGATATTATATCTTTATTAACATTCTTTATCATTTATAATACCTAGATATGTTTTAAAATGCGATTTAAAGCATTTTTGGTTTCGATCATAGTAGGCTATTTTCAAAAAAAATATCGATTTTATATCTATATTAGCATTCTTTATCATTTATAATACCTAGATATGTTTTAAAATGCAATTTAAAGCATTTTTGGTTTCGATCATAGTAGGCTATTTTTAAAAAAAACTATCGATTTTATATCTTTATTAGCATTCTTTATCATTTATAATACCTAGATATGTTTTAAAATGCGATTTAAAGCATTTTTGGTTTTGATCATAGTAGGCTATTTTCCAAAAAACTATCGATATTATATCTTTATTAACATTCTTTATCATTTATAATACCTAGATATGTTTTAAAATGCGATTTAAAGCATTTTTGGTTTCGATCATAGTAGGCTATTTTCAAAAAAAATATCGATTTTATATCTATATTAGCATTCTTTATCATTTATAATACCCAGATATTTTTTAAAATGCAATTTAAAGCATTTTTGGTTTCTATCATAGTAGGCTTTTTTCAAAAAAAATATCGATATTATATCTTTATTAGCATTCTTTATCATTTATAATACCT